TACATATACATACATATATATATACATATACATATACATACATATATATATACATATACATACATATATATATATACATATACACATATATATATACATATACACATATATATATACATATACACACATATATATATACATATACACATATATGTATATACATATACACATATATGTATATACATATACACATATACATATATACATATACATATATATACATATATACACATATACATATATACATATATATATATATATACATATACACATATATATACATATACATATACACATATATATACATATACATATATAAATATATACATACATATACACATATACATATATAGACATATATACACATATATACATATATATATACATATATATACACATATATACATATGTATATACATATATACATATATATATACATATATACATATATATATATATACATATACATATGTATATACATATATACATATATATATATATATACATATACATCCATCCATCCATCCATTTTCTTCCGCTTATCCGGGGTCGGGTCGCGGGGGTAGCAGCCTAAGTAGGGAGGCCCAGACTTCCCTCTCCCCAGCCACTTGGGCCAGCTCTTCCGGGGGAATCCCGAGGCGTTGCCAGGCCAGCCGAGAAACATAGTCCCTCCAGTGTGTCCTGGGTCTTCCTCTGGGCCTCCTTCCGGTGGGACGTGTCCGGAACACCTCACCAGGGAGGCGTCCAGAAGGCATCCTAAACAGATGCCCAAGCCACCTCAACTGGCTCCTCTCGACGTGGAGAAGCAGCGGTTCTACTCCGAGTCCCTCCCGGATGATCAAGCTTCTCACCCTGTCTCTAAGGGAGAGCCCAGACACCCTGCGGAGAAAACTCATTTCGGCCGCTTGTATCCGAGATCTCATTCTTTCGGTCACAGCCCAAAGCTCGTGACCATAGATGAGGGTGGGAACGTAGATCGATCGGTAAATTGAGAGCTTTGCCTTTTGACTCAGCTCTCTCTTCACCACGACAGACCTGTACAGCGCCTGCTTCACTGCAGACGCTGCACCTACCCGCATATCGATCTCACGCTCCATTTTTCCCTCATTCGTGAACAAGACCCCAAGATACTTGAACTCCTCCACTTGGGGTAGGACCTCCTCCCTGACCCGGAGAGGGCACTCTACCCTTTTCCGGCTCAAGACCATGGCCTCGGATTTGGAGGAACTGATCTTCATCCGGCCGCATCGCATTAAGCTGCGAACCGCTCCAGCGAAAGCTGTAGATCACGATCTGATGAAGCCAATAAGACCACATCATCTGCAAAAAGCAGAGACGCAATCCTAAGGCCACCAAAACGGATCCCCTCAACACCTTGGCTGCGCATAGAAATTCTGTCCATAAAAGTTATGAACAGAATCGGTGACAAAGGGCAACCTTGGCGGAGTCCAACTCTCACCGGGAACAAGCCCGACTTACTGCTGGCGATGCGGACCAGGCTCTGACACCGGTCATACAGGGACCTAACAGCCCGTATAAAAGGGCCCGGTACCCCATACTCCCAGAGTACCCCCCACAGGGCCCCCCGAGGGACGCGGTCGAACGCCTTCTCCAAGTCCACAAACCACATGTAGACTGGTTGGGCAAACTCCCACGCACCCTCCAGGACCCTGCTGAGAGTGTAGAGCGGGTCCAGTGTTCCACGGCCAGGACGAAAACCGCACTGTTCCTCCTGAATCCGAGGTTCAAATATCCGACGGACCCTCCTCTCCAGAACCCCCGAATAGACCTTACCAGGGAGGCTTAAGAGCGTGATTCCCCTGTAGTTGGAACACACTCTATGGTCCCCCTTTTTGAATAGGGGGACCACCATCCCAGTCTGCCAATCCAGGGGAACTTCCCCTGATGTCCACGCAATATTGCAGAGTAGCGTAAGCCAACACAACCCTACAACATCCAGAGCCTTAAGGAACTCTGGGCGAATCTCATCCACCCCTGGGGCCCTGCCACCGAGGAGCTTTTTAACCACCTCGGTGACCTCAGCACCAGAGATTGGAGGGCCCGACCCAGAGTCCCCAGGCTCTGCTTCCTCAGTGGAAGACGTGCCGGTGGGATTGAGGAGGTCTTCAAAGTATTCCGCCCACCGACCCACAATATCCCGAGTTAAGGTCAGCAGCACACCACTCCCACTATAAACAGTGTTGGTCGTGTACCGCTTTTCCCCCCTGAGACGCCGGATGGTGGACCAGAATCGTCTCGAAACTGTGCGGAAGTCGTTCTCCATGGCCTCTCCGAACTCCTCCCATGCCCGAGTTTTTGCCTCAGCAACCACCATGCGGGCGCATGTCGCTTGGACTGCCGGTACCCATCAGCTGCTTCCGGGGTCCCACAGGCCAAAAAGGCCCGATAGGACTCCTTCTTCAGCCTGACAGCATCCCTCACCGACGATGTCCACCATCGGGTTCGAGGGTTGCCGCCGCGACAGGCACCGACAACCTTGCGGCCGCAGCTCTGGTAAGCTGCCTCGACAATAGAGGCACGAAACATGGTCCACTCAGACTCAATGTCCCCCACCTCCCTCGGAACATGTTCAAAGTTCTCCCGGAGGTGGGAGTTGAAACTCCGTCTCACAGGAGACTCTGCCAGACGTTCCCAGCAAACCCTCAAAATACGTTTGGGTCTGCTAGGTCTGACCAGCATCCTCCCCCACAATCGGAGCCAACTCACCACCAGGTAGTGATCAGTTGACAGCTCCGCCCCTCTCTTCACACGAGTGTCCAAGACAGGTGGTCGCAGATCAGATGAGACGATGACAAAGTCGGTCATCGAACTGCGGCCTAGGGTGTCCTGGTGCCAAGAGCACATATGGACACCCTTATGCTTGAACAAGGTGTTCGTTATTGACAATCCATGACGAGCACAGAAGTCCAACAACAGAACACCACTCTGGTTCAGATCAGGGGGGCCGTTCCTCCCAACCACACCCCTCCAGGTCTCACTGTCATTGCCCACATGAGCATTGAAGTCCCCCAGCAGAACAAGGGAGTCCCCAGAAGGTGCACTTTCCAGTACCCCCTCCAAGGACTCCAGAAAGGGTGGATAATCTGAACTGCCGTTTGGTGCATAAGCACAAACGACAGTCAGAACACGTCCCCCCACACGTAGGCAGAGGGAGGCCACCCTCTCATTCACCGGGGTGAACCCCAATACACAGGCACCAAGTTGGGGGGCAAGAAGTACGCCCACGCCTGCTCGGCGCCTCTCACCAGGGGCAACTCCAGAGTGGAAGAGTGTCCAGCCCCTCTCAAGGAAACTGGTTCCAGAGCCTGAGCCATGCATAGAGGTGAGTCCGACTATTTCTAGCCAGAACCTCTCAGCCTCACACACCAGCTCAGGCTCCTTCCCCACCAGTGAGGTGACATTCCACGTCCCAATAGCCAGCTTCTAAAGCCGAGGATCAGACCGCCAGGGTCCCCGACCTCGGCCACCACCCATCCCACATTGCACCCGACCCCTTTGGCCCCTCCCACAGGTGGTGAGCCCATGGGAAGGGGGACCCACGTCTCCTCTTCGGGCTGTGCCCGGCCGAGCTCCATGGGTAAAAGCCCGGCCACCAGGCGCTCGCCCGCGTGCCCCACCTCCAGGCATGGCTCCAGAGTGGTGCCCCGGTGACCCACGTCCGGGCAAGGGAACACTAGGTCCATTTGTGTTTCTCATCATTGGGGTCTTTGGGCTGCACTTTGTCTGGTCCCTCACCTAGGACCTGTCTGCCATGGGTGACCCTACTAGGGGCATAAAGCCCCTGACAGCATAG